CTTCAGCTATCTCAGCTCTCTTTAACTTCCACTCTCTTCTCCTTTCCACTCTCCGACTTACTTCATTTCCTGTTTTCAAAGGAGAGTTGGAGTGAGTGGGTGTCTTTTTGAAAAGGTTAGTTTTGTTCAGAATTGGTTGAGATGTATCAGTATCGCTAGATGATTGAGAAGTTGTGCCAGATTGGGAACTTTCTTTTAAAATGGTCAGTTCTCTCAACAACCTCTCCCTCTCACTTTCGAATTCTTTTCTCTCTTCTTCAAAACTTTTTCTTTGATTTTCTAAAGAGATGTGTAAGTTTTCAAATTTCCTGATTAATGGAGGGATGTAGGGTTCTTCTCCATTTGAACCTGAGGTTGAAGGGGTTTCAGGTTCTGACACAACTTCCTTCTCAGAAGGATAGAGATTCACACTCTCGTCAGTTGACAAAACAGGTTCAGCGTTTTCATAGCTTTCGTTCAGGGAATCATAACTAAAAGGAATTTCGGCTTTTGAAGGATTTGACCGCTTTACCTCTTCTTCTTCTGCGGTTTCCTTTCCGTAGGTAAAAGCCATCAACTTGGTCAATCCTAACCCCATGTACTTTATGTTGTAAAGTTGGAGACAATCAATCTTTTTCAGATTGTTGGGGTTAGTAAATCCAAGACCTTCCTTTGAGTTATAAAACCGAGTGTCCCTGTTTTGGTTTAAGAAGATTGTTTGTTCAGTTTGTCCTCTTTTGACCAGCAGGTCTTCTAATTCTTTGATTTTTGTGTAAAGAGCACATCTTTGTTTGCGTAGAAAATCATTTTCTGCTTTTGCAACATTTCGTTCGAGTTCTGTGTCACTGACCTTCTTAGTTAGTTCAGCAATTTTCTGTGTAAGCTTTTCTGCTTCTAAATTTTGTTTCTGAACTCTTTCTTTCTCATTTTCTAGTTGTAACTTCAGGGAGTGACTTTTGTCTAGAGTATCAAGTACTACTTTGTAGTAATGATCTAACCTGCTCTTTTGCTCCTTTATGGTGTTATCCTTTTCACACGAGGAATGAACTTTGCATATGCATGAGCAGGAAGATTCAGAAGTACTTACAGTGGTGTTTGAATTTGAACTTTGACTTTTTCCGGGGATCGCAGCATCACCCTTTTCTTTTTCTTCTTCTTCTACAAACGCCATCAGGGCCAGATTCTCTTCTTCTTCATCATCGGAACTCTCCTCCTGCCATGGATCATTCTCAGTGGGAGTTGCAGCACTATCATCATCTTGCTTGGCCATGAACATCTTTTGCTTGTTCCACAGCATCTTTTGCTTGTAATAGTTGAAGTCCCTCTTCTTTGGTAAGCGACAGTCCTTGATAACATGTCCAGCTTTTCCACAGTTAAAGCATTTGAGGGGGTCTTCGGCTGCAACAACTCTACTAGAAGAGTTTTGATCATTGGTTTTTGTTTTGTAGTTGGCTGAGGAGGTTCGGAGCTTGTTTGATGAGCTTCCTTTCTTGGCAAACCTTTTGTTGAACTGATTGGTAAGTAGTGCCATCTTCTTCTGTAGATCGGCCAGCTCGGATTCAACATCCATTTCTTCTTCACTCTCTTCTTCTTCTGACTCTATCTTGACTGCCTTCTTCTTCTTCGGACCCTTAGATGAACTCTTTGATTTAGCTTCAATCATCAGTGCTAAAGGATTAGCGGAGAAGCTTCCTTCCATCTCAGCAGTGTCATTAACAAACTGCTGTAGATGTTCATGGACAGTGCAGAGGTCAAGTTCATCCAAGTCTAGGTGCTGTCGTAGATTCTTAACAGTTCTTCTCCATTCTGGCGGCAGGCTCGACAAGAAACGTATGTTCATTTCCATGTTAGATTTGACAACTTTGATCTTTCTCATCTCGTTGATCAGTTGTACGAATCTGTTATACGTCTCATGGAGCGCCTCACCAGGTAGGGCTTTAAAAGCATCATAGGCGGTCAAGATGTTCGCTTTCTTTGTCTTCAAGCCAAGATCAGTTCCAATCATTAACTTCTTCACCTCATCCCACATTTCCTTTGCTGTCTCCATGCTGTCTATCAGAATGTAGATATCATTGGGAATAGCTTGCAGCAGGTAAGTTTTTGCCATGAGATCAGCTTTGATTCTCAACCTGTCAGCCTCAGTGTATTTGTGACACCGCACCCGAACGTCCTTGAAAATTCGATTTAAAAAATTCAAAAGTGATGTATTGAATTTCCGATTTCAAAGCAATGGAAGAAACGATTAATATTTTACGAAGTACATGATTGAATATTGTATTGTTCAAACCCGCATTCTTTTGTAATTTTCATCATGTAAATTATTGGGATGAGCCTACACATATTGGAGATCAATAATGTGATTTAGGAAGTTGACTTGTTCTAAATAAATTAGGATGAGTACAAAAAGGCACCTTTGACAAAGATAAAACAATAGGACCCATCTTCCCATTTTTGGAGGTATTGGTAGATATTTTGGACCCCAAATTTAATGGGATCAATTGGGAACCACTCCACATGATTATAGTACCTGCAAAACAAGAAAAATAAGTGAGGAGACTTACCTTGGCCGCACAAGCTGGAGGAGGGCTGCACAAGACTTGATTGGAATCAACCTTGAGACCCACCTTGTCTATTTCCGCACAAAACATGGGTGTGTTTTGTCTCCCTTCATTTTGAGAGTTGTACTCGTCCAAATGAGGTGTATAATGTGTCCTTGGATAGCCTTTGAAGTGTAGTTTCATAATTGAGTGGCCTTTGTTCGAGTAGAGAGAGCAATCATCCAAAAATCGATCTGGAACGAGCAGTGGTCTGTGAACTCGAGCTGTGGGAGTGCTGAGACTGTTTGGTCGATATCTCGAGTTTTACAAATCCAATTAAGGCGTGTGAGATACCCACAGAAAGATCTCAAGACTAGGAATCCGTGAAGGTCTGGTTTGCAGGAATCGGAGTTGTGGAAGGCTTCCAAATCGTCCGAGCAAAACACAACCTCGCAGGAGAGGATTTAATCTTCTAAAGTGAGTTTTAACCCCAAAGCTTTACTTTTCATTCTCCAAATGATATGAACGATTGGTGAGACTATTATACACTAATCCAAGTGTATAATATGTCCTTATAAAGTTATTTTATTGATGTGAAGGTTAGATACTAACCTAGATGCAAATATTGGAAAACTAGGAATCGAGTTAGCCGGAAAACACCCGTTCTAGGGGCTGTTTTCGTATCAACGATTAAGGGTTGAACTAGCACTTTGAGGAGGCTGTTTAACACTCATATTTGAGCAAGGAATCAGTTCCAAATCCACCTTGACCGAAGCTTTGACCATTGGACCAAGAAGGGAAAGTTTAAAGCTCAATTGAGGTGAGGATTGACATCTAATTGCTTACAACTTGTAGGTTAAGCATGAGATTACCTAAATGCTTAAATCATGATTTTTCATGGATTATGATGATTATATATTGATGAAATATTGATATAGTTGCCAAAGAATGAAATTTGAAATGATTTGAGAATGTATGAATAATATGAGATTAAATGAGTATAAATGAACTATTTTGTGAAATAGGCATTTTGCTCATGTATGAATTATGTGGATACATAAATGAATATTTGTGTATTGAGATTGAATACTTAAGTTGCTGTTACATAATGATAAATATGTAGAGAATTACAAATAATGAGGATAATGGTATGATAACAATAATCCTAATAGTATTGAAATACTAGTTAGTGATTATTGGAACTTGTTGATCAAATTGATCCTAGGGATTGGATTGTATGAAAGGTACTTGAATATAGTTCAAGTGTATATAATAACTTAGTATGGAACTAAGGTTAAGTTATGGGAAGTCTTTAAGGATGACCCATGGTAGTTTAATGATATGTCAATTCTAGGCATAGGGTTGCTTGAGAATTGGACCTTAATGCATGGTGATGTGATAGAGCCGAGCTCTAGAATGCATGTAAGGTGTAGACTTGGAGTCTACGTATTGTATAGCTAGAGCCGAGCTCTAGGACTTGCGTGGTGATGTGATAGAGCCGAGCTCTAGAACGCAAGGTAGGGAATTTGACCCGAGGTATATGAATTGTATGGTGATGTGGTAGAGCCGAGCTCTAGAATACAATGTCATGTACTAGGGTTGGACTCTAGGAGTTGTCGTGGCTTATAGTCACGGGGTTGGGAATGGTGATTTCCAAATAAACATGGGCCCACGGGCCGACTACTTGACTTTTATATAAAGTAAGTATATTTTTAAACGGGGTAACTTAGGGTTACAATCATAATGTACTATCACCCTATTTGAGGGTCTTGTGTTTGAAATACTTGTTGTATATCTATTAGATGCCTGCCACACCAGCACTTTATAGCCGTATAGAGTGCTGACCCCTTCGGGGGCGTCCCACCACCATTTTTCAGGTTGAGGCTAGAGCTTGCTTCCTGTGCTCGTTGCTCGAGAGATCATCTAGGGGCGAAGACTTGGTTCGTGCTTCCTCCATTCGGATTTTAAACATTAATAAACATGCTCATGGATATTTTATTATTGAGCCTGCGTGCTCATGAATAGCCCTATGTGGCCCTTTCGTTTTAAACAATGTTTTCCGCTGCTTTATGAATTACTTATTATGTTGTTTATGGATGACTTATGTGTGAATGATATTCATGACGCCTTGTATAATATAAATGTGTTGGACTGCGGTTGACCATTCGTATTGTACGGCGGGTTGTCGACGTGTCCGGGGAGGTCCGGGGCGTGACAATTAAGTTGGTATCAGAGCCTTAGTCCATAAACTTCATAATGAAGTCTCAAAATTCTCTTTTCAAAATGATTTTGAAAACCATGAGCATAAACGTTTTGTACTTGAAGAGCTTTTGGTACTTGAGTTGCAAGGTCTCTAATTGTTAAGATGGTACCCTTAGCAATTGGTATGGCAGCAATTTGAGCCAAATAGTGTCTTAAGTACCGATCTGTCAATTGACATTTGATACGAGTCTAACGACTCTTTCCAAAATTTCTTTCAGAAATGGACCGTGGTGGCAAGGTGACTAGGAGAAACCCATTGGGCCGTGCACCAGAGGAGACTGGGCAAGGCAGTCGTAGGACCTCTAGGGCATCTAGAGGAGCGGGCCGTGGAGGCCGATCACAGACCGTGAGTGACGGTCATGTGAGCACTGAGAGTGACAGTTACTGGTCCTACGAGGACTCAACCTATCAACCGGAAACTGAGCCGGTTGAGACCCCTTATGAAGGGGATGATGATGATGTAAGTGATGAGGAGGAAAATGGCTCCTTAGCACGGATTGAAGCGTTACTCCAACAGTACCACCGTGAGCGTGAGGAAAGGAGGGAACACCGAAGGCGTCGGGCTGGGCAACCTTTGGGCGGGGCTTCAAGAGGGAGAAGCCATGGCGACTCTAGGACCCACATTGAACCACATGCGGGCAGGGGTGATGGAGGTCCAATCATAAGGATCTCCAAATACATCAAAGAGGCACGAGACTTGGGGTGCAAACCGTTTGATGGAACGGGTGACATCTCCATCTCGGCGCAATGGATTAAGAGGCTGAATGAGGCGGCCCTGGACATGCAACTCACCCCCGAATATAAACTAAGGGTTGCGGTGAGATTACTTGAGGGTATGGCATCCAAATGGTGGGATGGGACCAAAAGCAAATATGGCGAGACCGTCACTTGGGAGGACTTCCAACAGGAGTTCTTCGCCCAATACTACTCGGATTTCGAGGTGAACAAAAAGGTAAGGGAGTACACTCTTCTAACCCAAGGGGGTAACATGACGGTGAGGGAACTTGAGTACAAGTTCAGGGACCTCGCCGACTACATACCGGAGTATGCTTGTGACGAGAACCGAATGGTAAACCACTTTTGGGATGCTCTTGACTTGGAGATACGTGATAGGGCAACACAATTGCCTAATATGACTTTCGCTCAAGTGGTTGACCAAGGGTTGAAAGGAGAGAAACAATGGGAAGAAAGGAAGAAGAAAGACGCCGAAGAGGCGAAAAAGAGAAAGTGGGAGGGTCATGGCTCTCAAGGTTCCAACAAGAAGGGGAATCATGGGGGAGGATCTTTCCGGGCACCACCACCACCATCTAGGGGGAACCAAGGCCCGAGTGGGCAAGGCTCAAGGTCACAAGCCTCAGTGGTAACTCGTTGCAACAATTGCAAGAAACACCACTCCGGTAAATGCCGTGACCCCCCTAGATGTTTCCAATGCGGGGATGCCGGGCATCTGAAGGCACATTGTCCACAATTGGGTGTGGCAAGGGCATCGGGACCGAGTAGTGGCGCGACAGGCACACGGAATCAAACTGGGGCTTCTCAAGCCAGCCGGGGACATGGCGGAGCGAGCACGAGCAACGCGCCGTCCGTGAACCAAGGAAGGACCCAGGCTAGGGTCTACGCAATGACGGAGGCGGATGCTCAGGCTAACCCGGATTCCGTTGCAGGTATTGCCTCTCGTATAATAGTGTTTTATCCTTAATTAGTCCATAAATTAAGGTTACTAATCGTTGGGATCATTGCACAAGATTTTGGGGTCGAACCGGGGGATTCCGGGCTACTACAGGCGGCTGGAACCCAGGCACGATCGTGCCTAAGGCAGACACGATCGTGCCTCCAAGCCAGTGGCTGCGTAGAAGATTCCCCAACCCAGGCACGATCGTGCCTACGGCAGACACGATCGTGCCTACAAGGCAGTAGCTGCCCAGGGTTTTTCTCCAAACCAGGCACGATCGTGCCTAAGTCAGACACGATCGTGCCTCCAAGTCAGTGGTTCCCAGGATTTTTCCAACCCAGGCACGATCGTGCCTAAGGCAGACACGATCGTGCCTCCAAGGCAGTAGCCCCAGGGCGTTTTCCTGAGCCAGGCACGATCGTGCCTACCCCAGGCACGCCGTGCCTGGCACCCAGATTGCCGAAACCCGATTTTTTTCGCATCGTTTTGCGACGTTAAGGCCTCTTCTTGATCCCTAACGTGCGTGTGAACATTGCAACCTTCTATAAATGAGTAGGGAGGGTAGGAAAGATGTCTTACATGGTTCATGAATGTAGGGACACTAAAGATTAACGGGAAGGATGCACGAATCCTTATCGATACCGGAGCGCAACGTTCATTCGTGAGTGAGGCGTTTGCCGAGAGCTTAGAGATGCAATCAATACAAATGACACAAACCTTAGTGGTATCAACCCCACTAGGGGAAGACGTTGAAAGAAACAATTACTATCCATCTTGTATGGTGGAAATCGGTGGCCAAACCTTGACGTGTGATTTCGTACCGCTGAGTATGATGGAGTTCGATGCAATCCTAGGGATGGATTGGCTAGAAAAGCATCATGCTAGGGTAGATTGCTACACAAAGGTGTTGGAACTCGAAGGCACACATGGGGACACCCTACGCTTCGAGGGGGACCGCGGCAAATCAAATAGTTGTATCATATCCGCCGTGAGAGCGAGAAATATGATGAGGAAGGGATGCCACGCATATCTAGCATACGTGGTTGACAAAACCAAAGAGGAAACGAACATCGATGATGTGAGGGTGGTTTGTAAGTATCCGGATGTCTTCCCTAAAGACCTACCGGGGCTTCCACCTGACAGAGAGATTGAATTTGTGATCGAGGTCGAGCCTGGTACCAAACCAATCTCCATACCGCCATACCGGATGGCACCCGCTGAACTTAACGAGTTGAAAACCCAATTGCAAGAGCTTTTGGATAACGGTTTCATTAGACCAAGCCACTCCCCGTGGGGAGCACCGGTTCTTTTTGTGAAAAAGAAAGATGGGACACTTCGAATGTGCATTGACTATCGTCAACTGAACAAGGTCACAATCAAGAATAGGTATCCGTTGCCTAGGATTGATGACTTGTTTGATCAACTACGAGGAGCAACCGTGTTTTCGAAGATTGACTTAAGGTCGGGGTACCATCAATTGAAGATTAAGGAAGATGACATACCAAAGAGTGCTTTCCGCACAAGGTATGGGCATTTTGAGTTCCTTGTTATGTCGTTCGGGTTAACAAACGCCCCGGCGGCATTCATGGACTTGATGAACCGAGTATTTCATAAATACTTGGATCGATTCGTGATCGTGTTCATAGATGACATCTTGATTTACTCTAAGAGTGAAGAAGAGCATGAGGAGCACTTGATACTTGTTCTTGAAACACTACGGGAGAAGCAACTCTATGCCAAATTTTCTAAATGTGAATTTTGGCTAAAGGAGATTGGCTTCCTCGGGCACGTGGTTTCGGGATCGGGGATTGCTGTTGATAACAAGAAGATAGAAGCCATTACTGAATGGGAGAGGCCAAAGAACGTCAAGGAAATTCGTAGTTTCCTTGGATTGGCAGGCTACTATAGAAAGTTCGTGGAGAAGTTCTCTGTTTTGGCATCGCCATTGACGAAGCTCACTCGTAAAGGAGCTAAGTTTGTATGGGATGACAAATGTGAGAAAGGGTTCATGGAACTAAAGAAGAGATTGACTGAGGCACCGGTACTTGCATTACCCAAACAAGGTGTGGGGTACGATGTCTATAGCGATGCGAGCATCCAAGGGCTCGGATGTGTACTGATGCAGAATGGGAGGGTAATCGCCTATGCTTCACGACAATTGAAGAAGCATGAGGTGAATTATCCTACTCATGATTTGGAGCTCGGGGCAGTGGTATTTGCACTGAAGATATGGAGACATTATCTCTACGGGGAGACATGTCACATATACACTGATCACAAGAGCTTGAAGTACGTGTTTACTCAGAAAGAGCTAAACATGAGACAGAGACGGTGGATGGAGCTGATAAAAGACTACCATCTAGTGATAGAGTATCACCCAGGCAAGGCAAACGTGGTGGCAGATGCTTTGAGCCGGAAGAGCTCGTCTGGGGCATTGATAACTAATTTGAGGGCATTAAGAGCCCAACTGGAGGTAACCAGCGATGGTGCCTTATTGGCACGATTTGAGGTGAGACCCACTTTACTTGATGAGATCAAGAAGGGTCAGGAAGCCGACGAAGAACTTATGAAGGTCCGGGAACGCATGCAAGCGGGGCCGGTGGAGGATTTCAGGGAAAGAGATGATGGTCTCTTGTTATTTCGTGACCGAGTGTGTGTACCGTCAGATGATGAGCTCCGAAAGTCCATCTTAGAGGAGGCTCATTCATCGGCCTATGCCATGCACCCGGGGGGCACGAAAATGTACCGTGATTTGAAGGAAAGTTACTGGTGGTCTGGAATGAAGAGGGAAATAGCCGAGTACATCAGTCGGTGCCTTACCTGTCAACAAGTTAAGGCAGAACATCAGCACCCAGCAGGCTTATTGCAACCACTCTCCATCCCTGAATGGAAGTGGGAGCACGTGACTATGGATTTCGTGGTAGGCTTACCACGGACTATCAGGAACTATGACGCGGTTTGGGTCGTTGTGGATAGGCTCACAAAGAGTGCACACTTCTTGCCTATCAACACTACCTACCCACTTGAGAGGTTAGCCAAATTGTATACGGATGAGATCGTGAGGCTGCATGGGGTCCCGGTGACCATTGTATCTGATAGAGACCCACGATTCACATCACGTTTTTGGCCGAAATTCCAGGAGTCTATGGGAACGAAGTTGAAGTTCAGCACTGCTTTCCATCCACAGACGGATGGGCAGTCTGAAAGGGTTATACAGATCCTAGAAGACATGCTGAGGGCTTGTGCATTGGAGTTCCAGGGGAGTTGGGACAACCACTTAGCACTTGTGGAGTTTGCCTATAACAACAGTTATCAGGCAAGCATCGGCATGCCTCCATACGAGGCATTGTATGGGAGGAGGTGTCGTACACCGTTATGCTGGGACGAGGTTGGCATGGCCAAACTCGAGGGTACTGAGTTGGTGGAGGTCACCAAATCAAAGGTGAAGTTGATTCGAGAAAGACTCAAGGCGGCTCAGGATAGACAAAAGAGTTATGCAGATAAGCGTCGAAGAACCTTAGAGTTTAAGGTTGATGACGAGGTATTCTTGAAAGTTTCTCCTTGGAAAGGGATCATTCGGTTCCAAACCCGAGGAAAACTTAACCCACGATATATAGGTCCATTCAGAATTATAGAGAGGATTGGGGCCGTTGCATATCGTCTACAATTGACTCCTGAGTTAGAGAAGATACATAATGTGTTTCATGTATCCATGCTTAAGAAGTACGTGCATGATCCCTCTCACGTATTGGAGAAGCCACCTGTAGAGGTACGTGAGGATTTGAACTACGCTGTTCAACCTATCAAAGTCACCGATAGAAAGGTGAAGAAGCTGAGGAGCAAAGAAGTCCCAATGGTTAAAGTCCTGTGGAAGAGCGATCGGGTCGAGGAAGAGACATGGGAAACGGAGGCTTTGATGAGGAAGCAGTATGCTTTCCTATTCGAGTAGAGCTGTGAATTTCGGGGACGAAATTCCTGTTAAGGGGGGGTGAACTTGTGACACCGCACCCGAACGTCCTTGAAAATTCGATTTAAAAAATTCAAAAGTGATGTATTGAATTTCCGATTTCAAAGCAATGGAAGAAACGATTAATATTTTACGAAGTACATGATTGAATATTGTATTGTTCAAACCCGCATTCTTTTGTAATTTTCATCATGTAAATTATTGGGATGAGCCTACACATATTGGAGATCAATAATGTGATTTAGGAAGTTGACTTGTTCTAAATAAATTAGGATGAGTACAAAAAGGCACCTTTGACAAAGATAAAACAATAGGACCCATCTTCCCATTTTTGGAGGTATTGGTAGATATTTTGGACCCCAAATTTAATGGGATCAATTGGGAACCACTCCACATGATTATAGTACCTGCAAAACAAGAAAAATAAGTGAGGAGACTTACCTTGGCCGCACAAGCTGGAGGAGGGCTGCACAAGACTTGATTGGAATCAACCTTGAGACCCACCTTGTCTATTTCCGCACAAAACATGGGTGTGTTTTGTCTCCCTTCATTTTGAGAGTTGTACTCGTCCAAATGAGGTGTATAATGTGTCCTTGGATAGCCTTTGAAGTGTAGTTTCATAATTGAGTGGCCTTTGTTCGAGTAGAGAGAGCAATCATCCAAAAATCGATCTGGAACGAGCAGTGGTCTGTGAACTCGAGCTGTGGGAGTGCTGAGACTGTTTGGTCGATATCTCGAGTTTTACAAATCCAATTAAGGCGTGTGAGATACCCACAGAAAGATCTCAAGACGAGGAATCCGTGAAGGTCTGGTTTGCAGGAATCGGAGTTGTGGAAGGCTTCCAAATCGTCCGAGCAAAACACAACCTCGCAGGAGAGGATTTAATCTTCTAAAGTGAGTTTTAACCCCAAAGCTTTACTTTTCATTCTCCAAATGATATGAACGATTGGTGAGACTATTATACACTAATCCAAGTGTATAATATGTCCTTATAAAGTTATTTTATTGATGTGAAGGTTAGATACTAACCTAGATGCAAATATTGGAAAACTAGGAATCGAGTTAGCCGGAAAACACCCGTTCTAGGGGCTGTTTTCGTATCAACGATTAAGGGTTGAACTAGCACTTTGAGGAGGCTGTTTAACACTCATATTTGAGCAAGGAATCAGTTCCAAATCCACCTTGACCGAAGCTTTGACCATTGGACCAAGAAGGGAAAGTTTAAAGCTCAATTGAGGTGAGGATTGACATCTAATTGCTTACAACTTGTAGGTTAAGCATGAGATTACCTAAATGCTTAAATCATGATTTTTCATGGATTATGATGATTATATATTGATGAAATATTGATATAGTTGCCAAAGAATGAAATTTGAAATGATTTGAGAATGTATGAATAATATGAGATTAAATGAGTATAAATGAACTATTTTGTGAAATAGGCATTTTGCTCATGTATGAATTATGTGGATACATAAATGAATATTTGTGTATTGAGATTGAATACTTAAGTTGCTGTTACATAATGATAAATATGTAGAGAATTACAAATAATGAGGATAATGGTATGATAACAATAATCCTAATAGTATTGAAATACTAGTTAGTGATTATTGGAACTTGTTGATCAAATTGATCCTAGGGATTGGATTGTATGAAAGGTACTTGAATATAGTTCAAGTGTATATAATAACTTAGTATGGAACTAAGGTTAAGTTATGGGAAGTCTTTAAGGATGACCCATGGTAGTTTAATGATATGTCAATTCTAGGCATAGGGTTGCTTGAGAATTGGACCTTAATGCATGGTGATGTGATAGAGCCGAGCTCTAGAATGCATGTAAGGTGTAGACTTGGAGTCTACGTATTGTATAGCTAGAGCCGAGCTCTAGGACTTGCGTGGTGATGTGATAGAGCCGAGCTCTAGAACGCAAGGTAGGGAATTTGACCCGAGGTATATGAATTGTATGGTGATGTGGTAGAGCCGAGCTCTAGAATACAATGTCATGTACTAGGGTTGGACTCTAGGAGTTGTCGTGGCTTATAGTCACGGGGTTGGGAATGGTGATTTCCAAATAAACATGGGCCCACGGGCCGACTACTTGACTTTTATATAAAGTAAGTATATTTTTAAACGGGGTAACTTAGGGTTACAATCATAATGTACTATCACCCTATTTGAGGGTCTTGTGTTTGAAATACTTGTTGTATATCTATTAGATGCCTGCCACACCAGCACTTTATAGCCGTATAGAGTGCTGACCCCTTCGGGGGCGTCCCACCACCATTTTTCAGGTTGAGGCTAGAGCTTGCTTCCTGTGCTCGTTGCTCGAGAGATCATCTAGGGGCGAAGACTTGGTTCGTGCTTCCTCCATTCGGATTTTAAACATTAATAAACATGCTCATGGATATTTTATTATTGAGCCTGCGTGCTCATGAATAGCCCTATGTGGCCCTTTCGTTTTAAACAATGTTTTCCGCTGCTTTATGAATTACTTATTA